CTGAAACAAATGAGCGCTTTTCTGTGTGGCTGCACACCGACTCGTAAACAGACTTTTCAGCTTCGTTGGTGTAAATCCCATCAAAAGATTTGCAGAAGCTTGAAGCAGAAACACCATCTGGCTTCCGTTACTCCCGATTAAGCCGAGAAGAAGGTCCAGTTGAAGGACTCGTGATTTATAAGGAAGGTAATGCTCGAAACAGGGTAAAATCTCGGACATCTGCCGCAGTGGTGGAAAAGGCAAACGCTTTGTGAGGGATTATTAGGAAAGGGATTGAGAATAAAACGGACGATGGTTGTAATGCCCTGTGTAGATCAATGGTGTGGCCTCATTTGGAATACTCTGTACAGTTCTGGTCGCCGTCTCTCCATAAGGACATTGCAGAACTCAGAAAACAGACAGAGGAAGGCAACGAAGATGTGTGTGTGTGGGGGGGGTGTTCGAGCACCTTCCCTCTAAGCTGTGGAGTCTTGTGAGCTAAAATTCTACTTTGTGAGCGACTGCCATGAAAGTTGCAAGTGAGCCATTTGACTACTGCATGAATTGCGCTGGAGCCCTCCTTCCTGAGCTAAGACAAAAAAAACGTGTGAGCTGGAAGCTAAAAACCTGTGAGCTGGCTCACACTAACTCATCTTAGAGGGAACACTGAACGTGGCACAGGTTTATAGAATTATGCATGAGGTGGAGAGAGCTGACAAAGAGCCATTTTTCTCCCTCTCCCAAAATACTGGAACTCGAGGGTGTCCGGTGAAGCTGATGGGCAGTCGGTTCAGGACGGAAAAAAGGAAACACTGCTTTACACAGAGAGTGATAAATGTGGGATTCGCTGCCAGAGGATGTCGTGATGGCCACAGGAATAAGCAGCTTGAAAATGGGATTAGATACATTCATGGAGGAGAAGTCTATCAATGGCTACTAGCCATGGTGGCTTAGGGGAACTTCCACATTCAGAGGCACTAATCCTCTGAATCCCAGAGCCAGGAGGCAACATCAGGGGAAGGCCTCAGCCTCTCTGCCCTGTTACTGGCCCTCCAGAGGAACTGGTTGGCCACTGTGTGAGACGGGATGCTGGACTAGATGGACCATTGGTCTGACCCAGCAGGGCTCTTCTCATGTTCTTATGAAGGCCTCGGCCCCTCTGCCCTGTTGTTGGCCCTCCAGAGGAACTGGTTGGCCACTGTGTGAGGCAGGATGCTGGACTAGATGGACCACTGGTCTGATCCAGCAGGGCTCTTCTCATGTTCTTATGAAGGCCTCGACTTCTAATGCCCTGATGTTGGACCTCCCGAGGAACTGGTTGGCCGCTGTATGAGACAAGATGCTGAACTTAGATGGACCACCGCTCTGATCCAGCAGGGTGAGCTGGCTCACACTAACTCAGCTTAGAGGGAACACTGCCAGAACTAGCTTCCTTGGTTCTCCGTTGCTTGGAAGTATCTGGAATGTTTGACGATGTCCAATTTTTCTGCCTTTTGTAGACAGCAAACATTTTTTGTAGACAGCAAACATTTTTATTTTTTAAAAAATCAACTTTATTCTCATATTACCTCCCCATCACCCTTCGTGCTCATATTACCTCCCCATCACCCTTCGTGCTCAGAACCGTGGAGTCAAGCGGATACTGCTGCCGGCAGATGTCTGTTCTCGGCCACAACTGGAAGGGGCCAAGGAGACCATGAACACTGACCCCCCCACACACACACACACCAAGGGAAGGAGGCTTGAAAGGTACAGCCTCCCCCTCACACAGACCATGGGTGGGGAGGGGGAGCTAATGCAAAAGAAATCATCCAAAAAAGGGCAGCTCCCTGCCCTGACCTGGATAGCCCAGGAAAGCCCGATCTCGCCAGATCTCGGAAGCTCGGCAGGGCCGACCCTGGGAAGTACTTGGATGGGAGTTGTTGTTGTTGTTCAGTCGCACAGTCGAGTCTGACTCTTCGCGACCCCATGGACCAGATCACGCCAGGCCTTCCAATCTTCCGTTGTCCTCTGAAGTTGGCTCAACTTCATGTTCGTTGCATCTATGACACTGTCTGACCATCTCATCCTTTGCCGTCCCCGTCTTCTTTGGCCTTTAATCTTTACCCAGCATCAGGGCCAAAGTATTTGAGCTTCAGTTTCAGTATCCCATCATTGGATGGGAGACCTCCAAGGAATACCAGGGCCGGGACGCAGAGGCAGGCAAATATCAAGCCACCTCTCTGAAACGTCCAGGCCCCACTAGGGGTTGCCAGAAGTCAACCATGACTTCCAGGCACGCAAGCACACACACACACACACACACACACAAAGGCAGTCCCCTCTTGTGCATGAGAAATATCCCCTGACCAATGCTCCCTTTAAACCGTGGAGTCTTGTGAGCAAAAATTCTGCTTTGTGAGCTACCGGCATTAAAGTTGTGAGCCAGCGATTTGGCTGCTGCATCAGTTAGTTTGCTCTGGAGCCATCCGTCCTGGGCTAAGACAAAAACGGGTGAGCCGGAGGCAAAAAGCTGTGACTCAGCTTAGAGGGAACACTGCGCCCTGCCCTAGACAGCCCAGGCTAGCCCAATGTCATCAGATACTGGAAGTTAAGCACGGTCAGTCCTGGTTACTACTTGGGTGGGAGACCACCAAGCCCAGGTTTGCTATCCAGAGGCAGGCAATGGCAAACCCCCTCTGAACGTCTCGTGCCTTGAAAACCCCATAAAGGGGTTTGCCGTCAGTCAGTCCTAACTTGATGGTACATAAAGCCCTGATCCCGATAGCCCAAGCTAGCCTGATCTCCTCAGATCTGGGAAGCTAAGCAGGGTCGGCCCCGGTTAGTACTTGGATGGGAGACCACCAAGGTAGTCCAGGGTTGCTACGCAGAGGCAGGCAAGGGCAAAACCCACCTCTGAATGTCTCATGCCTTGGAAAACCTACGGGGTTGCCATAAATTGGCTGAGACGTCATGCCTTTTCCACCGCCAGGAGAAGCATCGTTTCTGAAACACCGGAAGAGCCGACTGACATAAAGAAATCGAGCAAATAGCCAATCATGCAGGTGCAGAAAACGGGAAGAGGTTTACGTGTTGACTTTGACAGATGCACTGTGAGGCACAGAAGCTCAGGATCACAGCGGGGCGGGGGGGAGAACTGGCAGCGCTACTCGAGAGCTATAATCCGCTTACATGGAGTTCTGCTGCAGTTTTCTGGTTGGCAAATGGCTCACGTGATAATCTCTCGTCCCTCCCCAGAGAAACCACAGGCATCGGACAAAGTGGG